GCCGCTGTCACGTGGCGCCGAGGTGTGTGGGGGTTGGCAGTGCGCCAGAGCCGGGGCCCGAAATACCTGACATGAGTGCGGAGCGGGCGACTGAGACAGAGGCGGCGCAACGCGGCGCATGGCGCGACACTCTGTACCGACCGGCGGATGAGACAGAGGCGGCGTATGTGGCGCTGGAGCTCCGTATCGACCAGCGGATGAGACAGAGGCGCCGTGGCACTGGAGCGCCGTGCCGACCAGCGGATGAGACAGAGGCGGCGTATGTGGCGCTGGAGCTCCGTGCCGACCAGCGGATGAGACAGAGGCGGCGTATGTGGCGGATGAGACAGAGACGGCGTATGAGGTGCTGGAACTTCGTACCGACCGGCGGCTCGCACGTGACAGGCAAGGGAAGGTGGACAACCGCAGCAGAGCACAGAAGCGCTGCTCGAGAACGCGCCTGGAGAATACCGCAACCGATAACTTACTAGCAAGCTCCTGGAAGCCTGTACTTAAGAGGCTGCAATTTTCCCTACCGCCATGTGCGGTGTGTGGCCCGGTTTGGGGTGAGTCCGGCCCGGCTGAGCCGGTCGCTGGGCGTGGTCGTGCCAGCCCCTGTCCCAGAACCCGTCCTCCCTTTCGGGAACGATCGGCCGGCGGCGCGGCCGGCGGTGAGGTAGCTGCTCCGTCCGGTAATTCCCTGGGCCGTCCTAATTGCCCCGCCGCCCCGCCGCCTTTTACTGCAGACTTCACCGAATCTAGAACCGGTCGGGCGGCGACCGTGCTCCAGCTGTAAACTGCGCGGCCCGCCCGGCCGACGCGTCCGCCCGGGTCCACGGCCGGGCGCCGGCGCACCACACGTGGAGCCGAGTAGCGCGGGTCCGCTGCCTCACGCCCCACCGAGCGTCGGCACCGGCAGCGGCCGGCTCGAGCGCACCGACACCGCCCGCCGAAGGCCGCTCACCGGCGGCGGGCCGGTGACGAAGGTGCTGAGAGTGGAAGATGGAAATATATGCTGGACGATGACGCAAGTGTCCCTAAATGGCCTGCGACATCCGGCCTTGTCCGGCAATGTCTCATGAATGCACGGAGGCGCCACAATGCATACATACAGCAAAAACCACTGGGAGCAGCCAGCTCCGTCCTCCTTGCTCCGCCGCGAGCGCTCGGCGATGCCATGAACCAAGTCACCGCGCTTGAATGCGACCGGACAGCGCCGAGAACGCCGGCTGAGGCCTGGCGCCGTGATGGCGGCGGATGGCCGAGGGGCCTCCGCTGACCGCGTCCAGCACGCTGCACTATGGCCAGCTCGGTGTCCTGACTGTGCCCAGCCCAGTGTCCTGGCTGCGTCCAGCCAAAAGTTCTGATTGTGACTAGCTCGGAGTCCTGACTGCGTCCAGCCAGGTGTCCTGTCCTGACTTGCCCAGCTCGGTGTCCTGTCTGGACCGTGTGCAGCCTGGTGGCCCGTCCTGTGTCTAGCCCCGTATCCTCTGCAGTCAAGTCTGATGATGTCCCTGCCGTGCTGGTCCGTCCCCGACCCTGTCCCAGTCCCGCCCGGCGGCCGTGATGTCCCTGCCTCGTCTGACGTGTGCCCCTGTCCATGGCCCGCCCGGCGTCCGTCCCTATCCCCGTCCTAGCCGTTGTGTCCCTGCTCCTCCTCAGCCAGGCGCCGCGCCATTTCTGTGCGTCTGACATGAGGCCAGTCTACATTTGGCGCCCTCACCCTGCTGGCGCCTGTCCAGCAGCGCAAACAGGGTCTGCAAAAAGCCGAACCCACGCCACGCCACGGAGGCGACCGAGAACCGCCCGATGAACTTCATCGGCCTGGCTTGGCACCCGGCAGACGCCAGTTCAAGGACAAGGCTGCCATGATCGCAGCGCATCCCGCCGTCCGTGAAGGCGAAATGCCCAAAGGTCATGCAAGGTCACATACCGTCAGGCAGACGGCGGCCTGAGACGAGTGCACTGGTGTGATAGTGATGCGATTCCCGCAGACAACGGAATCAGTCAGCAGTAAACGGTGGCCGGCATTGAGGCATTCCTTTCCGCGCCATACCAAAGCCTGCAGACGACGGAACCACAGTCAGCAGGAAGTGGTGACCACCACTGAGGCATTGCTTTCCACCCAATACCACGGCCTAACTTTTGCTATGCCGTTGGAGGGCAGCCAGTTACGCCCTTGTCCCACCCCGCCGGCCTGCTCTGCATCGAGCTCAGCTCCGGCTGTGGCCGCGAGTGGGCGGCAGTTGCACAGCTCAGGCCACCGCCATCGGCCGCCACTGCCGACGCGTCACAGTGCACGGAGGCACGACCCGCAGCCGGCCCCGACCGGTGAGCGGCCGCGGCCGCGGCCGGTGGCGGAAGTCGACCAGCGCTGCAGTCGGCCGCCGCCGGCCGGGCCGCATCGCTGGCGGCTAGCCAAGCGGCGCGTGGCGGCGCACAGAGCCGGCACGCGCCCACGGCAGCCTCTGGTCTCGCTGTCGCTCATGCCACCCAGCCACTACGCCGCATTTCCCAGAAGAAAGTGCTTGTCAGTCTTGTCGGAAATCTTACCACGCCATTTCTGAGCCGTGGGGCAAAAGTTTTCGCGCTTCTGTCCTAAAAGAGGACTGACAAGATTCTGAGGAATCAAAAATGCATCGCAACCAGGTCACTGGTATGCACAAACACATACAGTGGGCGACCCGACCGCCCGGCGCGACCTGCGCTTTTCGTCGACAGCCTTCGGTGTTTCGTGGCGTTTACCCCCATGTCATAGCGTGAGTCCAGCCGGCTTCAGATCACGGTGAGCAGTTATGCGCGTGCAATTTCCCCGTCGAATGCGGCAACTGCGATGCTGCCGCTCCAACTGCGATACTGCCGCAGCCCGGTTGGCTGAATCGCACCCGCATTACGATTCACCCATCCGTGGTCGCGTGGAATCGAGTCACTTAAAGGGTGTTCCGCATCTGTATGGGGTTTAAATTGAAGTCGCCATTTTGAAGATCATTCGGTGCAGGTCACAGCCCTTCCCTTAAGACCTAAAACGCTCTCGCTTCTGAGCTGCACGCCGGCGAAGATGAGCAGCCTTTTTCGTGCAGACAGTTTCGACGCCATTCAGGCATGCATGACGTCATAGAAACTTCATTCAAACCCTGTCACTTCATAGGCCATGGGGCGTTCAAGGCCAAAAAGGTTAATATCGCCGAGTCGTTCAGGTCCGGCGTTCGTGAGCACGACTTTCAAATAGAGTGGGCGTCAGTGGGCTGTCAAGTTTCAATCATGGATCACGTTTTGTGCCAAATACTATAAAAAGGTTGAACATAATTGCTGCTTTTTACAAACGACTGGAAATCCAATAACTTAAGAAAAGCGCGCGCCATAACCAACTGCATGAATAGAAGCAAGTTTCTTAAACTCACGGCTAAATACGTAAGAACATCACCAGAAAATAACGTTTTGAGGAGCATCTTTCCCAAATGGAGAAACTTAGTTGTCAAGAGCGGTCTTAGCCCCTTCAAGCGAATGTTTCACCTTCGAATACATTGAAACACGCATCAGGTATGATGAGACAAGTTCACTAATAACTATTGGTATACGTTTAAGTAGAAAAGACTGCTCTAGTAAACACAGTCTGTCTGTTTAGTAAATATGCTCCTCAATACGTCATTGTTTATATCATCGTACTTTGCACAACACTGATGGAGAACCAATTGACGGCCGTTGTACCTTGAAATTGTGTTCAGGAACGCCAGATATGAACCACCCCACAATTCTATCTTTATTGGCCTTGATTGGCGTGCGGCTTATGGAATAGCAGTATTTGAATGATATCATTATGACGCCATGAATGCAGATGTGGCTGAAATACTCTCCCCGAAATGGTACCCACATCTTCGCGAGCGTACAGCTCACAAACTACAGCGATTTAAGTCTTTCGAATGTCAGGGCTGTAAACTGCATCAAATGATCTTCGAAATGGCTATTTCAGTTCAAAGCCCCATACAAATATGGAACACACCCTGATAACAACGTGCATTCAGTATAACAGTTTTAACATTATACCAAAAGCAAGAAGTAAGCTTATCTCATCACGTTTGATGCTTCCTTCAATATCTCCCAATGAAGAACATTCCCTTTAGCGTGCTCGCCATTTGCCTTGACAGAATGGTCTGCAACCAGTGGCAGAGGCCCCGCTCAAGGTCAGGTGACGTCAGAGGGCCGGACGGACCAGGCTGGCCATTGCGGCGTGTTCAGCTTTCGCCGCAAAAGTCTGCCGCTGACCTGGAGTTTTAAGATCGGATAGCAGGGACAGTGCCCATACAACGCGCGCTACTTAACGTGGACTCTGATCCCACACAACCACCCAATCAGAAGGCACGGAGCTAGCAAAAAAATGTCGTACCGATAGGTTACAACTAGAATACAGTGCCGTGAATTCCTAGAACACAACGAACAACACCATCCAAGCATGGATTGGGGGCATTCCCCCACTGCAATTGGGGATCCACCTCCCCAGCTGGACGTGGAGGCCTGCCTCCCCAGCTGGATCAGGAGACAAGCCTCCCCAGCTGGACTTGGCAAGCCGCCTCCCCAGCTGGACGGGGGGACACGTGTCGCTAGCTGGATTTGGAGACCTGCTTCCCCAGCTGGATTTGAAGACCCGCTTCCCCAGCTGGATTTGGAGGCCCACCTCTCCAGCTGGAATTGGGGACCCACCTCCCCAACTAGACTTGGAGACCTGCCTGTCATGTTGGAATTAGAGACATGCCTCCCCAGCTTGACTTGGAGACCCACCTCCCCAGCTAGACCTGGAGACCCGCCTCCCCACCTGGACTTGAAAGCCAGCCTACCCAGTTGGACCTGGGGACCCCTCCCCAGCTGGACTACGAGACCCGCCTCCCCAGCTGGACTTGGAGACCTGCCTCCCCAGCTGGTCTTGAAAGCCAGTCTTCCCGCCGGACTCGGGGAACGGTCTTCTCAGCTGGACTCGTCATTCCGTCTCCGCGGCCTCTGCTTAAGCGCCGCAGCGCCGGACCCACCTCCCTTGGTGGGCACGCGGTGCTGCGAGTGCTGCGACCGATAGCCGGTGATCATCTCGAAGCTGCCGTCGTCCTTCTTCAGCGGGAAGCAGATCTCGATGACGTGATGGCACGGCTCCATCATCTGCAGGATGCCGCGCACCTTGAGCGCCTTGTCATCCCGCGAGACGCGCGACTTCATCGTGTCGACGAGATGCGGCTCCACCAGCTGGCAGCCGCGGTGGAAGAAGTACTCCACCATCTCGAAGAACTCGGGGTCCTCCTGCTCCGGGATCGTCTGTCGGCGACGCGAAACAGTTATGGTCAGCTACTGCCTTGCGCGGTGTTCGGTCCACTCACAGTGCGATGAGCGCAGGCCTTCTCTAGCCGCCGTACATGGAAGCAGCAAAAGCGGTGCGTGGAAGGAGCTCCAGGTCTCCACAATGGGAGCTGGAAGCGTATCTGTGAAACTGCGACAGCCGCGGCGCAGGGGTGACAGAGGTGGTCAGGATCATGGTCCAGCTTAACACCAGTGGTTACAGCCTGGGCGGGGCCACAGGCGCCCTCACAACAGCCTTGTAAACTCTCTGAACAACTACAGCAAACACTCCGGCGTCATCTCCCGGGGACCCCACAAGACAGCATCCAGCCCCATATCCCTGCTCATTACTCGTGATCTTCGCAAAGCTGAAACAGCCCTCCCCCTTCGCAAAATTTTACACCTTCAGTGTCCGAAAGCATTTCTGAAACATGCCACGCAGCCGCCGATCATCATCATTATTTACGTATCTCCGCAGGGCTGAAACAGGCATCCCCTTCGCAAGATTTTATACCTTTAGTGGCCGACTCTTTTCTGAAACATGCCACACCACTACCAATCACCATCACATAGAACGCCTGTTCGGCCTACATAAGAGACCGTTCAGACAAGGCCGGCGTGAGGCGGTGTCAACGGCGTCGGCGGCCGACTCACCGCCAGATGGTCGGGGATGACGTAGGTGCCGATGGCCCGGGCCGTCTGGCCGCTGGCCGACGCCTCGCCGGCCAGCAGGCGGCCCGCTGCCTTGCCCAGCACACGCAGCATCTGACGGACACGGCCCACGACAGGTCAGGACACTTCTGTGTTCAGAGATGGGTTTGTGGGTAGTTAGATTGGGACACCACCTGTGACAGGTCAGGACACTTCCGTGTTCAGAGATGGGTTTGTGGGTAGTTAGATTGGGACACTGCCTGTGACAGGTCAGGACACTTTGGTGTTCAGAGATGGGTTCGTGGGTAGTTAGATTGGGACACTGCCTGTGACAGGTCAGGACACTTTAGTGGCCAGAGATGGGTTGGTGGTCTGGGTTGGTCAGATTTGGTGGTAGGTTAGAATGCCTGTCTCTATATCTACCCATCCTTGGGGTCAAATCACCTCAGACACTCGCTGTCTGCCCTCGACTGTGGTGGCCTGCAGTCGGCGGCAGCACTGAGGGTCAGGTGATGCCGCAGAGCGGAGCAGACTGTGCCAAGCATTAAGACACCTTTAAATTTCAGTACACAATCCTACCACTGAAATGACATTTCATGATATGCAATTGGGCACAGAGCTCATGAAACAACAAGCACTGGTCAGAGCGGACTCTGATCCCAGGCCCTGACAGCCAGGTCAGCACTGGGCATGTGACAGCGAGACACTCTGTGACAGAGCATGTGGAAACAGAAACAAAGGCAGTAGCTATGATGTCATGGAGGCTAGCATCAATATATATAGGCTGCAACACTGACAGCCAGGTTGACGTGGACTGGGTGACTGGGCCATTCACAGTTCACAAGTCCTGGTACCCCTGCTTGTTATGTGTGAGGATGATACAATTGTGCCTACTAGAGAGTGACCATGTATATGGTCCATGCATATCACCAATGAGATGATGGTCATTGCCTAATGGAATCTAGCATGGCAATTGGTGAGAAATTATCACTGTAGTAGAGGTCACAACTATATTACTCTTAAGATGTGCTTCTTCCTGAGCCCCAGATCATACTACAAAGCGATTGGTTGCTTCCTTCTAAATGTCCAGCCTTACTGGACATATTTGGAAAGTACATGTTACATGCTCAGAGTTCCATCAAGAGCAGTCAATAATCTAAGACAGGGCAGACAGTCCCTAGTAAGACAACCAACATACCCTGCAGGGCCACACAGTTGGCTGACACATGCAATAAAACTTTGAAAAACCTTAACTTGTCAAGGGAGAAGCACACAACTTTTCAAAGAGCCTGCCTCACCAAGAGACATTCCAGTGCCTTAAGGTATGCAGGATAAGATAGATATACACAGGAGATGTAGAAGACACCTACAAGACTGAAACTGTAGCAGGCAGGCTGAAGAGACCCCTTATTTTCATGACATAAGCAGAAGCACCAGAATGAAAGCATATCAGTGCATGCCAATGAATGGAAGCTACCAGCAGCAACACAGAAATAAGTTCAAGGTTCTTCCTGAATTAATAATAAGTGACATTAGGCTACCAGCTAAGCTTGCATACCTTGCATATGCAATGAACATCTAAAACTGTCCAAAACTCTGAAATGTCTGGTTGATCCATAACTACCAAGCCAGACTCGGCAGGCAATGGGTAATGGCAAAATGCAGCCCTATGTCCTGTGCATGCCTTTTGCATGATATGGTCACCAAAGAACAACAATGAGAAGAGGATGAGCCCTCAAGGGTTCACAATAGAAACATCAGATATGTGCAGCCTGCAGGCACTGGCATGGCAAATTCAACAAATTCAATCTTAATCCAGGCTTATCATCCTACTTATTAAGCTATATATACTATAGGTACATATATTACCTATATATCACACTGCTCCTTATGCAGAGATTGTAGCACTGGCCTTTGAGAAGCACCTGAGCCACAGGCCAACTTTCAGTGCAGTGTTGGTACTTGGCAGGTAATGTGGGCACACGGCAAATGGAGTCATGCACTGGTTGGAGCTCCTTCTCAGTGCTTTCACATAGGTGACAGTGAATCTCTTAACGGGTACACGAAATAAGAACATAAGATGAGATATGAACAACGATGAGAAGCGGATGAGCCCCCAAGGGTTCACGATAGAAACATAAGATATGTGCAGCCTACAGGCGCTGGCATGGCAAATTTTCGCATAGAGTACATCAATTAATGCCATTTTTCTGTCTTCCTATGCCTCACCTGAATGGGCTTGAAGAGTACAACCCACTAAAACCCAGACACTGCCACCACGCGCTCGACCAGTGAAGAGAGGCGGCGGCTTGACGTCGTGCAAGTGATAGAGTCAAGGGGACTGAAATTCCTTTAAATAGTGATTCGATCAATCTAAGATTTCCCTTTTTACTCCCACCAATGACGTCACTGAAAATTTTGTCTTTGGCCGATGGGCGCATACATTTCTTTTGAAGGGCCCTAGGATCAAGGAAGGTATAGTAGACAGAAGGGGCAGAAGGGCCAGTAGAGGGGGGGGGGAGGATAAGAACATGTTCTCCAAAAGTTGGGGAGACCCGTTTCTCCCAAGCTAAAGACATTGTAAACTAACCGTAAATTATGAAAATTGAGATTAAAAAGAAGGCATAATTGAGCCAGAGAATAAAATCTTGGGCTCAGAACATCGTTCTGTACATTGAGAGACCCGTTCTCTAGTGCATGAGGCCACCTTTATAAGCAAAGTAGCTAACGCTTTAGATCAGTAGGCCCCATTCTGTGTTAAAGGGGCCTCTGCTGGCTCAGGAGGCAAACGGTATAAGCTAATAGGCTCTGTTCTGGGTTAGGATGCTCCCTCTTTGCTTAGAAGACCCAATTTCTGTGGCAGCAAGCCTCTTTCATGCGTCATATGGTCGCGATACCAAACCAGCAGAGGCCCTGGTAAGCATCCTGTTCTGGATTAGGAGGTCCCACTTTGCACGAGGAGCCCCTTTTAGGTTACCAAGGTCCTTTGATAAATAAACAGAAGGCCCCTATTCTATTTCGTTCAATTGTCGACATCTATCTACTTGGATATAATGCACGTCACAGTTTCATGAAGGCGTACTTGCCCCCAGAAGCCCTTGGCCCTGACATTTGACATTGACCAGGAGACCCCCCCCCCCCCCGCTGTGAGAAGGCGCCGTTTTGTCCAGGAGGTCCGCTGAAAAATTTTTCCCCTTCAACTCAAATTCGTGGGGCCGCCTCTGCATAGGGTAGAACAGAGTAGAAGCATAGAACGTGAGTACCTCCCACTAACAAGGACTAAACCAAATGGAACCGGGGACGGAAACAGCTAGCATATTACCTGCACGGGACACCGCATGGACTAAACCGGTTCTGACAGATACCTATGGACGCAAAGTGTGACGTGTGGAGCGTGTCGTCGAGTCGTCGTCGAGCCAGCGACCTATCATCAATTTTTTTTTTTGGGGGGGGGTGTATTCAAGATGGCGCTGGTTGTACGTGGCTTCCATAAAACTGTTCGCATGCACGCGGACAAATTCCGACGGAAAACTGAGGTGGACAATTACGAATAAGTCCAAATGCTATGCGCATGCATGAAGTTTAGCACGCCACAATGTGCTCAAGTGGCTCTTACAGCAGAATAATGAGTTTGACATCCCCCTACTCTGAAACACGAAATCCTAGATTCGCTTCTGCTCTCACCTGTCTGTGGTGTCAAACACGAAGTCCTATATTTGCTACTGCTCTCTCCTGTCTGTTCCATCCTACCTTTAAGAAGACTGTACAGAAGCTAGAGAGGATCTGGATGGGTGTACCCGACCTGAGTGGTTCGCAGAGTTATGACGCAGAGGGGCATGGCAGAGCAGGGGAAGGCAAGCCAGGACCAGGACAGCACAAGAAGAAAAGGGGCAGGAAACAATTATATAACCTGTTGCATTTTTCTGTCCTGTTCTGTTCTTTTCCGTCCCACCCTGTCCTAAGCAGTGCATCCAGGATTTCGCAAATGACATACGATGTCGGCGGCACGTAAAATCGAGTTCGATAACTGTCCTTAAAATTTGTCGGCGCATATCTGACGACTGCTCTAAAGCTCAGGCGCTAAGGGAACTGTCATCGTGCAGATCTTGAACTTTGCATGCTCGAAGTAATTTAGTCACTCCCGTACACGCGGGCAGGCGGAACGGCCTGGTATTCACGAGCACGTTTGGAGATTTCGGCAACGTGGTAAAATTCCTCTGACTTCATCGGAAAAGCTCGGGACCAATGTGGAGGGCCCCGAAGCGATCAAGAGTGTCCGGGTCGATTCACATATAGGTTCCCGTCAACGGCGTGGGCCCCCCGAAAAAATGAAAAAAAGGAGACCAACAGGAGCGGCACCTGAGCATTTGAGGGTGCTGCGGCAGGCCAACAAAGAGGCTTTCATCAACAGGGTAGGGTCCTCAGGGTAAGCGAGGAGAACCCAAGATCAATGTAGTGAGCCCCTCAATGGTCGGGAGTGTTCGGTAGGTTGATTTATAGCGTTCCGACCAGAGTGCAGGGCCCTCCGAGCAAATGAAAAGAACCCAAGACTGATTTACGTGAACTAATGAACTTGACCCGTCGAGATTGCATTGGCAGATGAATAATAGCCCGAGACAAAGGATTAGGGTCCTTCGCGTCAATATCAAGTGCCCAAGACGATTGTACGCGTCACCGTGTGATCAAGAGCGCCCAGGATAGCGCAATGAACCCCAAGATTTTCCCAAACACTGCCCTTTCAATCAGCGCAGAATCACATGTTTCTGCTCGTGAGCTCTTCATTTTCGCTTGCGACTGCTCTTGCGCCTGTAGGCACGAAGACGTCCAATTTTGCCACGTTTTAAAAAAAGCCTGCGTCTGTTCGGCCGGCTGTGGGCCTCTTCAGAGTCTGTGGCGGGGGGCGGATCTAGCCTGGAGTTTTGGGAGGAAGGGAGGGGCAACCGTCCGTTGCCATCTGGCTGGTGTGGGATCCGAGGTCCAGTGCATGGTGCCTTCCGCGAGTACCTAGTAGGGTCACCATTCAAGCACCGAAATGCTTTTGAATCTTCTGTATACAGTATGCATGTTTACGAAGCTCGTAACCTAAGATATTACTTTCAAGAGTCAACTGGTCAGATGGGGTTCAATGCAAATGGTGATCAGGGTGGTAAACGGTGAAACAGGGTGAGCAAGCCGAACAAAGGATGATGCTAGTGGCCACGGAGCGATGTGGCGGCTGCAGCTCGCTGCCAACTTTTATTCATGAAGTTTTTTCCGAAACGGAAAGAAATGTTTGGTACCGCACGATCAAAGTTAAAACAGACGGTAAGTAGGCGAAACTCTTATGAACTTCTGGGATTTTTTTTTGGGGGGGGGGGGCAAAACACTCAGTTTTTTGGGGGGCCATGGCCCCGTGCCCCCCCCCCCCCCCAGGATCCGCCTAATGTCTGTGACCCATTTGGAGCCTGTGGGCCGCTTCGGAGGCTAAGGACTCCTTTGGGGCCCAAGGGGGGGGGGGGCATGACTACGAGGCCCTCTCTGGATCCGGTACCGGTCCTATCCAATCTTACCCAGCCCTGTTCTGCATTGTGTTCTGTACCCTCTCGCCTCGTCCTGTCCTGTTCTGCCCTTACCCCCACGTCTTGTCGTGCTGTGCCCTGCCCTGCCCCGTCCTATCCTGTCCTGATCTGACTAGCTTTAGCTTGCCTCATCCTGCTTTGCCCTGCCCCCCTCCCCCCCCCCTGCAACCTCCTACCATACCCCATCCTCTGGCCAGTTCCGTGCTTTTCCTTCTGTCTCCTGTCTCCCGTTCTGTATACGGTTCACTTAACCGCCACCTTTCCCCACCTCTCACGCATCACCCCATCAAACCTCACCCCTCTCGCACCGCCTCTTACACCTCGCCCCATCAAACCCAACCCATCGCGCACCGCCTCTTACACCTCGCCCCATCAAACCAAACCCATCGCGCACCGGCTCTCGCACCTCGTGCCAACAAACCCAACTCATCCTGCACCGCCTCTCGCACCTCACCCCAGCAAACCCAACTCATTGCGCACCGCCTCTCATACCTCGCCCCACAAACCCAACCCATCGTGCGCCCATCTCACACCTCGCTCCATCAAACCCAACCCATCGCGCACCGCATCTCACACCTCGCTCCATCAAACACAACCCATCGCGCACCGCATCTCACACCTCGCTCCATCAAACCCAACCCATCTCGCGCAGCCTCTCACACCTCGCTCCACCAAACCCAACCCATCGCGCGCCGCCTCTCACACCTCGCTCCATCAAACCCAACCCATCGCGCACCGCCTCTCACACCTCGCTCCATCAAACCCACCCATCGCGCGCCGCCTCTCACACCTCGCTCCATCAAACCCAACCCATCGCGCGCCGCCTCTCACACCTCGCTCCATCAAACCCAACCCATCGCGCACCGCCTCTCACACCTCGCTCCATCAACCCAACCCATCGCGCGCCGCCTCTCACACCTCGCTTCATCAAACCCAACCCATCGCGCACCGCATCTCACACCTCGCTCCACCAAACTCGACCCATGTGCTCTGCCGCACCCCGCCTGTCAATGTCCTTGTCTTGTTTCGTCCTTTTCCGCCAAACACTGCCCCGTCTTTTCTGCCCTCTCCTGTTCTTCCTCGTCTCGCTCTGGCATATCCCGCCCTACGCCGCCCAGTCCAGTCATTGCAGTCCGGTCCAGTCCAGTTGTGTCTTGTCTGGGCCAGGATAAGCTTTGGCCTCATGGGTTTGAGTCTATGTCCGATCCCCAGTCGAAGTTCATATTTTTATATTTTGTTATTGACCATTGTATCTTTTATTATACAAATATTTCTATTAGATTTCATTTATTATAGAAATATGTTTTATTATATTTTATTTATTATGCAGGTACTTTTACTAGCTACTACAGTACTACGAGATGCTCTCAGTTGTCGAGAAATGGCAGGGAGTGCCGCCACCATCGTTTTGCGTGCGGAAAAGATGCATCGAAAAATAATCGTCATGTTACTTTCACAGCTTCAGATTACATGTCACGCCGACACCATCAGTCCTTTTACTTGATCGATGTGATGATGATGATGATGATGATGATGATGATGGTGGTGATGATGATGATGATGATGCTCACAACGCATCAACATTCGGTGAACAGGTGGGTGAAAGACTAACTTTAGCCACAAAGATGATACATTTTGCTTGTATGTCAGATTTAGGCCATGTGCGGAAAGATTATAACCCGAGAAAGCTAATAATCTTGGTGCATATGCTAATCATTTCGGTGCATATCTGACACTTTCGGTGCATATGCTAGTAATT